AAGGACGTGGCGTGATACTAGTCACGTGACCTCCGCTGACGCAACAGTATGCTAAATATACAATGTATATTTATGTTTATGTAATTTGAATGGCTCATCAGTTGAAGTATAATGCTATGATTTCTGGATCACTGTTAAATAAAATACAAAGTTGAATTTCTACCTATTCTGTTTCTTTTTCTTTCACAATATATTCCAGTTCAAAGACGTACATTTAGATTTACCAACCTCTCTCCTTGACAACAAGAAAAAACAAACAAACTATGTATATACATCCACACTCTATTGAGGCTAATCCGGCCCTGCATAGAAGAGTAAGACAAAGAACATAACTTATTACATAAAAAAGGTTGAAAGTGAAAACCTAAAAACATCTAATAAATAAAAAAAAACAAGCTAAATACAATACACTATCATGACAAAAGAACTCTTCACATTACGAAATCGAATGCCCTCAACGATACACTGAAAATACGAAATAAGATAAACTCTTCAGCAAAGATAAAACAATTCAAGACTGCCATCATTAGTCACAGTTACTTCATATATAAAGGATCAAGTCCTTTATTTTTTGATATGTTGCTTGTCAGTTATGTTTTCTATGTAACTTATTCATTCATATTAAACACCACTCACGAATGTTTTCATGTTACGTCAATCTATGTAAGCAATACCACACACATACATATTTTACACATATATCACGTACTAATAGCTTTAGACAGACTCTGGCTGGTGCATCACTACCATAGCAATAACAGTCTTCTTCCACCAGCTGAAGTACCATAACATTCTCCCTCTACGAGCCATTAAACTCAACACATCTTGAAATATATAATCACCAGCACAATCCATCTGCACCAAGACTTTTCAGCAAAAATTCTTTTAGCCAGGATTAATATTCGTACTGTTCTCTGCTTTAAATATCACTACACACTAGGCTAAATACAATGTTTTATAGTAAAACGCATTACTTCCTAGACAGCTTACAACACCAGTAGCAGAGCTATTAAAATATTGTATCACCATTTGCAAGTTAATCCATTCTCTAAAAATTACGCCACAGAAAAATAAATACAGACAAATCCAGTGAAACCAGAACCATCCCACTTAGCTTCCTAAAAACCTGAATCATATTCTGTGCTGAGAAAGAACACAACTTCCTCACTGCTTGGTGGCATTGTCACCATCATGTACTGTGTATGGTGTGTCCTTAATCAGACTGGAACCCTCTCGTGATGAGAAGAGATACTGCCCTTTCAATTTACAGATAACAACGCTATCTAGCTGCATATAATATTCAACTTCTCGTAAACTAAATAGAAAAATGGTGTAATAACTTGTGTGCTAAGACAAATCTCCAGAAAATTCAGGTAGTCTGTTTCAAACATAGAAAATTTTTATTTCGAATACTATGCAAGAAAAGGTGTAGTATTGAATACTGTGTTATAATATATTATTCTTTACTTTCACCCAAATTATAGGTGATACTGTATTATATACAATTGCTTCACTAAGACTTTTAGTTTCCATCTACTACGCCAGTGTGATAATATATGTAGAGTGGTATAGAAAGTCTTCGTAATTGTTGCAGCGGCAGGAAATCAACTTCACGGCAGAAAGAGGGGGAGGACCCCAAAATTGCAGTAAACCTCCGTGAAGCTATGCACTAGTTGAAGTGGGAAAAGACGTAGCCCAAGAGATAGTTTTGACTGTTGACTTTCACGCAAAGTTACTTGAGGGATATATGTGCTAACTGTCCCTATTTTGTGATAGACTAGGAGTAAAGCACCACCCACCGCCAACTCTTGACCAACGTAACATCATAATGCTCCCACAGAGTAAAACTATTATTGATTTTACATAATAATAAGTTCTCGACACAGTATTTCTTTTTAACACTTGTGTTCACCTAAACCAAATAATGATTTTGTTTCTACAAGCGAGAATGTTCGATGGCGGTATTCAACTCGCGACCTGGAGGTTGCGACTCGGGTGCTCCAGCCATCAGGCCCCGAGTGATAGGTGTCGTCCAGAAGATGTCGGCAGAATGCTTATTTCGACGGCGAATTTGTCAGAGTTCTTCAAAGTGTATGTGCATTTCATTTTAATTTCTCCTTTTTCTTATGTACACTTTAACATTTTTGGATATCTGTTTTTTATTTCATTTGCTAAATTGTATGCATCTTAGTTTTGTTTGTAAATATCTTTACGCATTTTTAAAGGGTTGTGTTCTATGCATTTTGTTTGAGATATCATTTTAATTTATTTAACTTTATTCTAAAAGTTTTTATTTTGCATATCTTAAAGATTTAATTTTGATTACAATGTTTTTTTTTTCAAATCTGCAAGTTAAGTGAGCAGGTTTGAAGTAAAGAATAACTTTCCGTACACATATACGAATAACAGAAACGACGATTTTCTCTGTATATACACAGCGAATTGGGATCTAAACGTCAGAATTTAGTCTTTAG